ATTATATTTTAATATAATTAGCTTTAATGATTTAGATCATTCACATAGCGGGCTTGTGATATCAGAAATAATTCTTGAAAGTTTGCTGCAATAGGGTTCACAGAATAAAGTTAGCAACATTACTTTGGATAATGCATCATCCAATGATGTAGTCACTTAAAATTTGAAAGGATTTTTTACTAGAAGGACTGGGTTTCTCATTATGAGAGCTTTTTTTTTCATGTTCATTGCTCCACTCATATTTTAAACTTGATGGCATAAGATGAGTTGAAAGAAATTCGTAAGGTGATTGAAAAGATTATAGAGTCAATCCTATTTATAAAAGAATCCTCGAGTTATTTGCATAAATTTGGTGAGATTGCGAGACAAATTAATTTATCTACAATAAAGTCATTATGCATTGACGTACCAACATGTTGGAACTTTACATACAAAATTGTAGAGTTTACATTTTATTATAAAGTTGTATTTCCTGAATATATTTTGTGAGATTTTAATTATGCATGGTTATCATTTGAGGATGATTGGAATCAGTTTGATAAGATCGAAGAATTGCTTTATATTTTTCATCGAATAATTGATATTTTTTGGGTTCAAATTATTCAATAACAAATAGACTTCTTCCAAATTTAATGGTCATTAAAAAAATATTTGATAGAGAATGTTTATCCGATACTTATTTTATATCAAATATGATAGCAATCTTGAAGTCAAAATTGGATAAGTATTGGACGGATTGTTCTATGTTATTCTCAATTTCTTGTATTTTAGATCCAATAATGAAATTCTTTATCATCAATTATTACCACCCTCAAATTTATGTTTGGATATTCTGAATGAAAAGAAAGATAGTGTGAAACAAATTTTTTTTGAGATGTATTCTTATTTTGTTGTTGATAGACAACATATTGGTAAAAAAATTAGTGAAGCCTCTACCTCTAACTCTCAAGTTGGGGTATCAATCACAACACATGATAATAATAGTTTACTTGATGATTTGCTGAATTATATGATTTCATAGATTCAACGAGGCTTCTACTTTAATAGAAGTCTAACATCGAGTTATACTTAGAAGAGCTTGTGTTTAATATCCTTATTTAGAGTTTGATGTTTTAAAGAGGTGGAAAATATCCGCATTGACATACAAAAAACTTTAAGAGATGATAAAATATCTTTTTATAGTTCCAATCACAACAGTTGTCTCTGAGTCAACATTTAGTGCAGGAGTTCATGTGTTTAATGATCATAGAAGCTCAACTTCCCCTAAAATATTGGATAACTTTGTGTGCAGTGGTAATTGGAGTATACCAACATACAAATTATAGAAAGTCTCTTTGATAAAATATACATTGTTATGCATTTCTTATTACCTATTGCATTTGCTTTTCTTAAATTTATATAGATGCGCAATCTTCTTTTGCAACTTCAGTTTAACATTCTTATTGGAAGAAAATTTAATTATATGTGTTACAGAAATCTCGAGCGTCTCAACAGAATCCAAGATATGGCAACACAGATGAGAATTGTGTGCTCCTTCATTCCTAGGGAAGGTAATAGACCAACTAATTGGTTAGCTCGAATGGGGAATATAAATGAATACATTGTAATTATCAAGTTTCCCAATTCCTCTCTTGCCTTGCTTTTGATAGGGTATAATTTGGATATCCCCTATATTAGATCTTGTAACCACTCTTTTTATTTGGTTTAATAGATTCATTACATTCCAATGAAGCGGTAATGGGTTTTTGATTAATCAGGATAGCAAATCTCTTTTATTTCAGTTAGACATTCTAAGAATATTGTCGTATTGCTGGTAATGAATGTCACTTATTTCTTTTATTTTAACATTATCAAATATATTGTTCAAATATTACATATTATGATTTTTTTTTTGCTCTCGTTCTTATATTTTTTTAATTATTGATAATGAATGAGTGCTACACTTATTTCTCATTTGGTGATATAGTTGGATGTTTTGTGCATTCAATCCTATTTTTGATGGAGTAACCATGTAAGCGAGCCACAGACTGAGTGTATTGTGGCTTGTGAGTATAAATGTAGGCATTCTATTTTATATTTTTTCAATTTTTTATTTAGGATATCAATTGATTAGTAATACAACAATACATGGTTAAATAATTTTTTTTGTTAAGGCCATCAATTGATCATGAAGACAATAATACATGGTTTTTTAAATCGCACAAACTTGTCGGGTAACTTTGGACGGAGTTGGTTGCATTAGCCTGAGAAATTTCTAAGCTCGAATGCGAATAATTTTTTGGAGTGTCGGCTAGTTAGTTTTTTAGCTTTATCGGTTGGTTTATTTTGCTTCTCTATTTGTATTTTTTATTGGGTGTTTTTTTGGTTTGTGGTTGAAAGTAGTGGCTGAATTCATATTTTCTTCAAATCTTTTGAACATACATACCTAACACTTAAAACAAATTCATATATATATGCTGATTTTGGTTTCTTTATACTCTTAACACCTAAATTTTGTATTTTTGGTAGAGCGGTAGAGTTGGCTCGACTGGTTAATCTTGCTTGACTGTTTGGTTAATTTTGGGCATTTACATGCCTACCACTCCATTCCCGTTTCCCAAAGGAGCCAACTATTTTTGGCTTGGCTATTTGGTTTTCTTTGAGCTTCTCTTGCCAATAGTGTTGGTTGGTTGGATTTCTTACTTGACTAATTTTAACTTGGTCGCTTAGTTTATTGGTTTGGTTGATTAAACTAGGTTTTTCAATTCATTAAGAATTAACATAATTGGCTCACATATTAATTTATTTTGATTGCACAAATACTACTAATTTGACCTTGCCAATTGTGTTTGAGTTCAAGAGCAGTGATAACAATCAACAAAGAAGGGATACTTCAACAAGTTGTTGATACGAATTCACTTTATTTGAAGTCCAAGTGGGTTTATTGTTTTGAACTTCAATTTTGTTGTTATGAAAGTTTTTGAAATTTCGGGCGGATATTTCTCATAGTTTATGCATTTACTTCTTCAAGTTGGACTTCTTATTAATTGAATTTTAAGATGACTTAGACGATCATATCCTTCGTGATATGTAAAGCTGGGTGTTTTATCTAAGCTCAAATTTTAGTTTCAATTTTTCCTTTATTTATTCTTTTATTTTTATTTTTTGCACAAATATAAGGTATTCCAAATATGATGTATCCCCCAATCTAGAATCTAGAAATAATTATTCTTTAATTTTATTTTCTTGCTAATATTCCAACATTTAAAAACTTATTTTTTTTATTTATGTTTTACTTTTGTACAATATTTAAGGAATTTGCTTTCAAGGACGAAAGACGTAAAATTTTAACATCTTAGATTGTATTTAATTAACTCTATGTATTTTATAGTTATAAATCGAAAGTCAAACTATTTGATCCAATTTCGATCCATAATATTGAATTTTCGATCCAATTTTGAGCACGTCGAGATTTACTCGAAATCAGATCGTTCACCGTCAATTGTTGGCCATTGTTAGTAGCAAAAGTTAAAAGGGAAACTCTTTGAAAAGTGTGAATCATACATGTAAAATATGGTACACATTAGCTATCTACATGTGTGCATTTAAATGTGTACCTCCTCACACCTAAATGTTGACATGTTTGGATACATTATATTTTTTATGAGCATTGAATGCATAAAGGAAACTCATTTAATACATACTTACACATCATTGTATGCACTAATTTATCGGTCTGTATAGTGTGTCGAGATAGTATACATGTATCCATATACAATTAGAATTTGTCTCATGGATATAAAAATGAGACTAAATCAACAAATCTAATCAATTTATTTAACATTCATCAAGTCAATCCATCTCATGTACAGTGACATATAAAAGAACATATTTTGTAATATGACTTTATTCTTATATATCTTAAATTATTATAATTATTATATTCTTTTACATTATAAGATAGTGTTCTGCCAGTATGACTGCACTCTGTTATATTACTTGGAATATGTTGCATCAATACTATAATAAAATGTAGCCATATTTCTCCATTTTCGAATATCACAAGACATTGATTCAAATTTCCCAAATTCTAACGGCATCAACAATTTTAAGAAGCCATTAAAACTGCGTTTTGCCAATGAAGAAAAACAATATCAGATAATTTAAAATAGATCTTTAAAAAGCACTGAAAATAATATAAGTCAAAATGAAATTTAAGATGGTAAAAAAAATAACTTAAAAATCCATAAAAGTGGCACAAAAATACAACTCTTATATGATGCCATTAAAATGAATAAAATATGTAAATAATAAATTTTTAAAAAAAATTAAATCCATCAAAATCGAATTTCATTTTTTTCCCCTTTCTAAAACATGTCCAGCCATGGAGAAAAATTTGCGTACGTAAGACAGATGCAGCGCTGCGTACGTCGGGGGGGTTATTCCGAGGGTATTGAGGTATTGGGGGGTTATATCCGTATTATACCCTTTGCAACCTCCCTATAACTTACATGTATTCTATTTCATATATTTGTAGGTTACAGGGAGATTGTAGGGGGTATAACACGGATATAACCCCCCAATATCCTCTGAATAACCTCCCTGATGTACGCAGCGCTTACGTAGGCAAATTTTTCTCAGTCAAAATGTTATGACCATTCATCTGAGATGTATGTTTCTTTTTAAAATATGTGAAAAGCGTATGAAGATGTTTAAAAAACAAAAAAAAAAAAAGAAACAAACAAACAAATCGCAACTGCAAAACTATAAATTTTCAGTCAGTGGGGCCAAATAAAAAATAAATGCAGCTAACAAAAGAAGCCTACTTAAGTGCAGATAGATAATTATTCATTTTCTCTTACAAAATAGTTCTCTTAAAATCTGCAATATCCAAATGTTATGAAGATTGAAGCAGAAGCCACCAAAGAATGCCACATTATGATAAACACTCGACACAAAAAAGCAATTTAATTTTTTCTTCAATTTTCTATTCTTCTCAGATGGAGCTATAAATGACCAACTCAAGTTAACCATAACATTTTATTATTCATTGATTAGATTCCTAACCAGGTTAATGAAGAGATTATATGGCCAATTACAGGTTTTCTGCTTCAGGGAGAGGGCAAACCTTGCTGAATAGTGAAGATAATATGGAAGCACAGCCATTCATTCATTCTTCTTCATCTTCTTCAGTGCCTCCAATCCCTAGCCACCTGGTGAAAGCAAAAAGGAACTCTTTGAAGGTCACCATTCCATTCTTATCCCAATCCATCTCTTCTGCAGTGACAATAAATAAATAAATAAAATGAGATAATACAACTTCAAGTTCGTCTAAATCTCGTAGAATAGATCCAAAGCTCATTTCATTCATCTTGTAAATCCTAATTTCATGTCGGAGTAAAGAGTATTTATAGATTATAAATACTCCAGTGAGCTAAATAGTTATTAAAAACTTAATTAAGACCCATAATGACAAATTAACTCAATTCTAATCAAAGCCATTGCATTTATAACGTAGCTTACTAACAGCTTTGTTAAGGGGATTGTAGACGGAAACAAACCTTTTAGTTAAATTAGTGCATTGAAACTAACAGGAAGATTCACCAAAAACAATCACAGATTTTTAATCACCACAGAAAGATGAGAAATGACATTTTAAACAAATGGAATTGACAATAGACCGATATAATTATAAGGATATCAAATCATATATCCTTGATATAATCAATTTACATTAAGGAACTAATCTACTTAAGCAAAAAAAATATAAGAGTCAACCAAAACAATTTCAAATTCAGTCCTAATCTAATTGCACTAAAATAGGAAGTTATCCTAATTATGATACTAACCTTTAATTTAAAAATCTTCAAATTATCCTTCATATATGGCATGGACAACCAAGGGATTAAGAGGGTGCTTGAATGCTTATTTTTTCTTTGGGTTATCATATCTTGTTATCATATCTTCATCTTTAAAATATTTTTAGATACAATTGGAACTGTAGTCTTTTTTACATAATTACCAATATATCCTACATTTAAGAAAAAACACCAAACCACAGTTCCTGAATTAGGTGAAAGGGAGCAAAAGAAAGGAGGGTAGGAGTGGGTTGTGTTTTATACCCAATTTTTGGTTAAGAATTTTTAAGCTGTTAATCAGGTTTTTTTAAACAAATGAACATAATTTGGAGTTGAAAATATTTGAAATCTTACTCTGAACTCAAATGTAGGGCTTAGCAAAGAAAGATGAAAAATAAAAATTGCCTTGATCGCATAAATTTGCTGTCAAGTCAGTGGAGGCATAAAATAAGTTGTGATTTCCTCAAATTTAATTGACCTTATTTGGTAGCTTGTAAAAAGAACATATTTTAGGGGAAAAAAAGAGATGATTTTCCATTAATTTGTTTGTGAAAATGAGAAGAGTGTTTTTGAGAAAGTTAGGAAAGGCGCTTGGAATTTGAATCAACGTTGGTGTTTAAAAACATTCCCAAATAAATGATGAATTTATTTTTATTGCTTTTCAAAACAAGATTTCTAATTTCAAGCTACCAAATGAGCCTTGATGATCTCACACAAGGTGACTTTTTTTACAATAAAAAAGGACAAATATAAAAATTAGCCACCTTCAAATAGATTCGTAATTTAATAAATAAATTTAGCCACTTAATAGTGGGTTTAGTATATATTCCGCTGCTTATTATTTTATCTACCGCTAGCTCTTTTCTTTTCTTATAGCGGTTATATATTGGATGTGATTTGATTAATGAAGAATTAAGCCACAAAATTTAAGTTGGCATAGCAAAGTATTTTGAGAAAGAAAATTAGTGTCAAATCAAGTTATTAAGTGAAGCGTGCACAACGAGGTCCTCTATACTCGCTTTTATTTCCAAATAAGAAGTTGCCTAAATCAATGAAGCAAGGCTTCTGGTTTATTCTAATGCTGCGATGGGCTAACCATTCCGTTCCACAAAAAATGTTGGCTTCGCTCACTACTCACTCCCTTCTTTTGCATCTACACCTTCATCAATTAACCAATTTTCTTTGACTCTTATCTTATACGATATCATGGCCTCTTTGTCTCACCTATGTTATGCAAAGACATCTTCCACCATTGGCACTCCAAATTTAACACTAACAATTACCTCTTCTAATCCAGGAACCATTATTTTTTTATTGATTCTCATGAAAGACTCATTCATCTTAAAGCATCTCCTCCAACTTGTGATGAAATTGTCATGTTCAAACGAATTGCAACTTATGACAACATTCTTAATTGTTTGTTGAACAGTTCTTAACTATTAGTACTTCCACAATCATGTTTCACTAGACTACTAAAACAATTTGAGGTTCTCTTTGCTTTATGTGGTTCTAGAAAAATAACATTTCCAGGACATGCACTTCATACTCTGGCCTATTTCTATGTCACATAATGATTAGTCATTCTAGGATTAAAATAATATCCTACGAGGTAAGTGGGATGATTGCAGTCCCTACAAAACTTTTACTATGGGTCCTGAGATCTGGCACTAGCAAAATGACCATTTCTTGATTGCTAAATTTCTACTTACATTAATCCATCCCATTGACATGTTCAATCTCAATTAGTGCAAATTTTACAATTCCCAAGCTTGTAATTGCTCTTTTTCATGTTCTTTGGGTCAAGTTACTGAGTTGCCATCTCCTACACCAAATTCTAGTCAAACTTCCATGGTGGTCACAAATGTGGAGGACAGACGTAATGTGACTGTAGCCATTGGGAAAGGGGATCTTATCAGGCCAAATATGTATCCTATTTAGCAAAGCATGCTTTTTTTTCTTACCATGCATAACCTTAAGAAGTGCCGAAATGCCCACAAAAGAATAGCACAAACTGATACCACTCAGAAAGTAAATTGGAGCAATCTTAGCTTCAATAGATCTACAACAGCTGAGATGATGGTGACAAAACTATTTTCAATACTTAATTGGCCCATCCAAACTCCCTGCTTAACAATTGGATTAGTGGAAGTAGTGAATTCATGAGTCGTTCCTTCCCAAACAACCTTTCCGTCATACCAAAAAAGCAATCTGTCAACGGCTCTTCTTATGGTACTATGTTGATGAGTAACAACAAAGTACGACGCGATCTTTCTGAGGCTATTAGTGGTTCTCTCTCCTTTCAGATGCACCAACTGGATGAGATCTTCAACAACAGTTTACGCAATCAGATCGAATCCTGCGGTGGGTTCGTCCATATAGTAGTATCTCTGACTCAACTGCCTCCTTAGTATACTGTCATATATAATAGATCTGGCTAATGCCACCCGTTTCTTCATGCCTCCAGATAGCTCAGAAGGCAACCTATCCTCCACCCACTTGAGCCCAACAGCAGCCAAATTTTCCTTGACAAGCTCAGCTATTCTATCTTGTGGCATCCTTGAATTTTCAAACAGCTGGAAACCAACATTCTCACGAACTGTAAGTGAATCAAAAAGTGCTGCACTCTGAAAAACCAAGCCGACTTGAAGACCTGCCATCTCCTCATCGTCAACTAATCCATGTCTTTTCATTCCACATATGAGAACATCCCCCTTGTCTGGAGCTAGTAATCCGGCCATGATCTTGAGCACAGTGGATTTACCAGTTCCGGAAGAACCAATAATTCCCACAGCTTCGCCATGTCTAACCTTAAAGCACAAACTTAAAATCTGCTTCCCTCCAAAGGATTTGTGAACATCTCTACACTCAATATGAATGTCGATTATTTCATCATTGACATTTATACCTTCATCTGGGTTCTCAACAACATTCGAGCTATTGCTTTCCAAGGAAGCAAGCCCGTCCCCGAAATTCATCGGAAGCGCCATGGAGGCGCAAAGAATCTTCCTCCAAGATGAACATGAACACCAACTACTGCGGCCTGGTAATGAAAGTCATACACGCGAAGAACGCTGGAGACCAGCCATGGGTATGCTCCAAGCATTCTCCCAATATACTACGGAGCTCGACATCTCCGAGATGAGAGGTGAGAAAACAAACTTCACGCAAGCAGTAAACTTATTGCCGGTAAAAAGATTTTGTTTTGAGGAAGTTGGTTTCGTTCACGAAAAGAAAAGGAGTATCGAAATTACAGAATCTGCGACTTGATGACCGCAGGATGAAGACAAGTCGAAGAACGAAAGAGTTGCGACCGCGAGCATGGCGGCTTTTGGTTGCCAAAATAGAAAGGGGCCATTTAGCAAAGCATGCTTATAAATCATATATTCCTTCTAAGTGTACTCTCATTACAACTACCCAATGTTTTGTCATGCTCTATCAAAAGAGTGATTGTTTGATTTCAAATTCTCAAACATCCATAAATGATTCTCATATTGAAGCAAACTCATTAGTTATGCCCTAAATTTTAGGTTTGGGTGTCTCTTCCCATTTGAAAAATAACTAGTGTAGGCTCCAAAAATTCATGCCCCGACGTCAGCTGAGAGTTTAATCAGTATTAAAATCAAATATTCAAAATACTGAATATTAATTTTGATAAGATGTAATCCAGAGATTTGGCCTCCTTTTACGAGGACTTAAAGGTCTAATTCTATGTTTCTCATAGATGTTGCCCCTGTGATTATATAACCCTCTCTGTAATGAGAGAGCACTGTCAATTAAGGCTAGTCATTATGTGCTAAATATTTAGCTCGGCATATAGCGACAACAAATTTAGATTTTATATTATAAAACTTATCACCACGAACTTAAGAGCGGATGGGTGCATCACCATGAACTTAAGAGCGGATGGGTGCAGATGATGACAAACTCGATCAAGAATGATTCCTCATCCCAAATTGTTGTGATACCTAGTTTACTTATTTAGAGGAGATAGTTGGCCCAAATGACCAAATAATCATCGCCAGTAACCATGGGTTGCATCTTCCAAAGAGTCTTTATAGGTCACAAGTTCATGTTTGTCTAAAAATATAAATCTTAGTCAATCTTGACAGACAAAAGGCTTTGTGCTGTCAAATGTACTCTTATGCTTCATAACTCGAAGGGTAGAACATTATTAGGGAATAAACGGGCTACACCATGATTGTAATATAATAGAATCGTTTGGCAAACCATCCGATCATAGAGCTCTGATCGTAACCGCTAATTTTTGTGGAGTCATTTGGTCTATCATGATGATAGAGAATTACGATCACATACTTACTGATGCAAGTTATTTCAAGAGTGTAATAATACATTAGATATGGAGTACGCTCTTTGTGAGCAGATATTCAATCATAAATTTGTCACCCATGACAAATTGGTGCACATGGTGGATAGATTTTGCTTTAAGCTTTAGGTGACAACTTTACCTGAATACTTTAATGTTTAATTGAAAAAATTAATTTTAAATAGACTCCTCTATTTTATATTTTTAGTAAACATGGTCATCATTAAGATGTGATGTTTAAAAAACTTGTATTCACAAATTATTTTAATTTAATTATTTGAATATCATTAACAACATCAACCTTGTCAATTTTAATTCTTGAATACTTGCACTAGTCCATTGCTTATTGAAGCTTTGAAAGTTCAAAAGACTTAGTTCACCCTTATTAGGGAGCTATTATGGCTGCTTCAAATGTGCTAGTGTAAACTAAAATTATTCTTTGCACTTTCAATGCAAAGTGCAGACTATTCCAATATCCATTAAAAAGATTTTTCTTTAATCCACCTGATGTCACACATAACAGTTGAAGTGTTTATGATATGATCTTGTTTATGATTATTTGCAAACCTCTAAATCCCCTATAAGTATTATACAAGTGATGTAGCATTCAATTTTATTCTTTTTAAGATGGTTCATATGAAAATTTAAGCATTCTTTTTGCTCATTAATTTGGCAATTATTATGAATATTTCCATTTTATGTTATTCGTCAAGTCTGTTCACAATTTTTTGACAATCTTCTAGCATCTCTCAGACATAAAAGGCATCGTAAGGAGAGCTAAGACTTCCCATCGACCTAAAAGAAACATGTTTGGTGTGATGCAACATCAACGCCATGGGAAGTCTTCTAACCCATCAACACCACCAAGCCTTTATCCCACTATGTGGGGTAGGCTACATGAATCTTTTTTCTCCATTGATTTAATTCTAATAAATTAAGATATTTGTTTTATACATTATGCCCAAGTCTTTTAGGTCCCCTACCTTTCTTAACATAAATCGAATCTAAAATATCCACTCTCCTAACTGGATCATCAGATGGTCGATGTTTAATATGACCAAACCATCTAAGATGACCAACCCTAATCTTGTCTGCCACTGGAGCTACACCAACCCTTTCGCGGATACATTTGTTTTGTATTTTGTCTCTAAGTGTCAAGCCACTCATCCACTAAAGAATTCTCATCTCAGCAACACTTGATTTATTTTTATGCTTCTCTTTTAAATGCCAACATTCTGCGCCATAAAGCATTGCAAGTCTCATAAATGGTAGTACTAATTTTCTTCATTTATTTTCTATTTATATCCTCATGCATGCCAACTAAGAAGTAATACCTTAATTACAAGGTCCACATATTCAATCAGTAAGGCACACAAATTCCTTTCTCTCAATAATTTACATAAATATGAGGCCTTTAGGATGTTTTTAAGTTCAAAGCAAGGAAAACTATATCCTCTCCACAATGCTCACCACATAACCAAATTATTCTTTCTCCCAAATTCGGTCACAAATACTTGGACCACATCTAATATTTCAAATTAATCTTCATTTCTTATTGAAATCAAGTGACTTAGAACTCTATTTTTCTCTAATATGATTATCTACTACTTTATTGTTATGTATTTTGGCAAGCTAGGCCTCCATTGACCCCACATTGCACCACAAACTATGGTTTCTTCACCAAAGCACTCAAAAAGTTCTTTGCGTGTGGAGAAACCCCAATAAGGGTAACAAGAATGGTTGAATATGCTAATTCACATCATTGCACGCCTCTTCTTATGTCTCCATGGACTCATTCGTTGAAAACATCTTTCAGAGAAATCTTAAAAGCTTCCAACATAAATCCATAACCTAAATATTCTATTGGCTGCATAAGTCCTCTATACTCAAATTCTTCACAGTATTGGAAGCAAAGTTGAAACCCATTAAAATTTCCTTACATTTAAGCTAAGAACTGGAAGGTATACCTTCAATGATTTTATGGAGCTTGAACCTTATCCAGTTGAACCAGTTCATCAAGAGAGGAGATTTCACATATTGGATGATTCTCTCTTTAATTTCAAACAGAAGTCCCAAGAGATGTCAAACTAAAAGCTCAGTTGACTGACATCATGGCAACTTCCTAATAGGGGATCATCTTCAACACCACCATTACCGGCTCATTCACCATCTAAAATGAAGTAGAAGAGAACCAATAAGATAGATATAATTCCAAGATATTTAGAATTCAAAGACACGTAGTGCAGCAGAAAGGAGAAAAGAAACCCTTCACTTTAAGGATTAGGTAAATTTAGAGTTAGCCTTACTTGGTGACAACATCAAAGCCAAGGTAATTGATATTTGACAATTGCTTTGAGCTCCTGGAAATATAATTCATGATTTACAGTTTACCTGATAAAAAAAATTACTTTTGCTTGTTTGAAAAAATTTTCACGCATTTTAGTGTGGTGGAATTCACATTATCAACTTTGATATAACAAAGCATAAGAAACTTTTAAATCACAATATTACCCTATCAAACATAAGGAAGAAAAATAAATATGATTATAAAGAACTTAGCATAATAAGCATGCGAAAAAGACTATACAAAGGATTTTAGGATAGAAAGAACTGCCTTGAAAATTTTATTGGTTGAAATACCAATATTAATAAAATGTATTTTGAGGCTTTAAGGAAGGCCACTTCACAAAAATTGATGCTTTTTTAGTTACAAACATTTTTCGGGTAAGTTTCTATTTAAGTGCAATCCGATTATGACTGAAACTGTATTTGTTCAGAGTTCTTAGCTCCTATAGTCCTACAAATAGGACTTAGAGCATTATTTTCAAATTTGAAGCAATGATTGCTATAATCTCTTCAATTCTCTTCAAAAGACAATATTTTTTTCTCCTAAATCCTGTCACCAAATATTTTGTGACTACCTCCAATCATTTGAACATATTATATCCCATGATTTTTATAGAAATTAAGTAAACTAAACTCAATTTTTTTTTAAACTCGATTCTATACAAATTTGTTGTTGAGTACTTTGATTTATTCGACCTCCAAAAACTCCATATCATAGCACAACCCAGACCATATCCGCTTATCTGATCCGTAGAAGGAGAATGAATGAGTTTGCAAGCAGAGAACCCTAATTCTGATTAAAGAATTCAATACCTAATAATACCATGGCGTACTATTCTCAGTCCTCCATAGATTCATTAGTTAAAGCATCTCTTAGAAAATCCCTAAAAGCTAAACATAAAACCATAACAAAAAAATTCTTATTGACTTCACAAACCTTCTGCACTCCCATTTTTAATCAACAACCAAACCAACAAAGACACCCCAAACAATAATTTTTAAGTCTGCCAATATTCTTTTTTTCAAGAAAGTTCAATCAGTCTTAACCCTAGGAAAGGTTAAAAACTTAAGAATGCAGAAACTAAACAACAAATATCTACATACAATATTGTTCATTGTTGAGAGAGATTAAATAAAATACACTAACCAAATCTTCTCATAGCAATCCGTCCAGATGATCTTCCACCTGAGGTTGATTCATTTATGGCTTCAACCATCTCGGACTTACTAACATGCCCATCTTTGTTCTTGTCGAGAAACACAAAGGCATCAACCAAAGTTTGAAAAGTAGACTCCAGTTCTGGCAACCCTAATCTTGATTTCTAGCAACAAGGTTATTGGAAATCCAGCATTGAACAATAAAGAAATTTTACAACTTGGGAAGAAAACTTCAGCTATAAATATATTGCATGCGTGTATAAAAATTTTAAAAACAAACTGCAACTATCATGGGAGTCTTACTGACATGAAAGCACTGAGCAAGATAAAAACCAAACAAAAAATCCTGCAACAAGATCCAGTTCCTAAGTAGGTATGGGATCTGCAACTCTCCTAACATGGAAAGTAATCCATGCAAAATAATGGTGCGTGCATCGAAGTAAAAACCAATCATCGGAGATAATCAGCAATAAAAACTAATATAAATAAGCCAAAGGCTTGCAAATATGTTATCCACCAAAAATAATTCCTGTTATTATGACAAAAACTAGTTGAATAGTAGAAAAAAATACCCATGCAAAAAAATGCCAATTGTTTTATTTAGATGGTATAGGATCTGCAACATAGAAAGTATCCATACAAAATAATGGTACATGAGATGCATTTATATAAAAATCAATCATCGGATATAATCAGCACTAAAAAACAAATATAAATAAGCCAAAAGCTTGCAAATATGTTATCGACCAAAAATAATTCCTGTTATTAAGACAAATTCTAGTTAAACATTAGAAAAAATTGCCAACAATTTTTTACCCAAAAAAAAGGATTTCTTTGAAACATATGACAGCACAAACAGTAAGTACATTGGAAAATATAAAGGATACTGCTGGTGTAGTTGTGGGCTTCTTCAATAAATAAACAAGGCAGAGGAGGACAACAAACTCGTTGAATTTAATTGCCATGTTTTCATCAATGTCACAAGCTTTGAAGATTTCACTAATCTCATCTTCAGTAAAATCAACTTGAAGTTTGTGAAAACAATGTTTGAGTTCTTCAGGATCAATTGCACCATTAGAATCTTCATCTGAAAATGAAATGAGCCTTTATAAGATAAATAACCATTGCTGAAGCTGGTCATGAGAAAAATAAGTTACACAACTCAGGGTGAACAAAACATAGAGGTGCAAGTGTTAGGAAAAAAGGGTATTGATAAGTAGCTAAAGGGCATTTGATGAAAAAAAAAACACCAAAAATGATTGTTCCATGGTCTCACATCATGTCTCACTGCCTTAAAGAAATGCTTTTAATTTAAGCAAAAAAAAAAAAAAGAGTATGTTTTAGCAGTTTGTTACCAGAACTAGATCAAAACCAGTTCTCACCCAATCAGGATTAATAGCCTCAGTTGAGATCAATGTTGATTTTTGTTTATCATTTTTTTGTTTATGTTTTGATTTAAATTAAAGCATATTAATTAAGGTAGTTATTTTAAAAAACCCTTGAAACCTCTTTTAGGAGCTTTGAGTGTTTTTAAAACCAAGAAATAAAAACGTATAAAAATTATACTAACCAAAAATATTTTCAAAAATAAAAAGTAAAAATGAAAACAAAAACAGAAAATAAAAGTGATGCCAAATGGAGCCTAAAGGATTGCTTGGGATCACTCTCATTTTTTGTTTTCAATTTTGCGTTTTTATTTTGTTTTGTTTATGTTTTATTTTACAATAACGCATGATTGGCATTTTTAATTAGGACATGACTATTTTCAAAAACATTCAAAACACCTAAAAAGTTATTTTGACTAAAAATAAAAATTAAAAATATGTTAAAATTTTATTAAACAGACATGTTTAAAAAATAAAGGTAAAAAAAAAACAAAAAGAAAAACAAAATATGTAAGTGATCCCAAACTGCCCTTAAAAGTTTGGTCAGTTTCAACTTGTTTGGTATTTTTGGCACAACTTAGTAGCTTCAACAAGAATCCAAGGAAAAAAAAAGAAAAAAGACAAAACAATGATAACTGCCAAAACTCAAGTAATGATTACTAGAACAGTCAGATCGGCTAGTTCTTGCATTAGTCAAAAAAGCATTCCTCATTACATCTAATGAAATGATCCTTAATCAAGAAAAAAACTTAGCTATCAAAACATGAAATTTACAAAACTGAAAGAACTCACACTTCGTTTAGCTGTTCAAAAAATCCCACCCCTGCTAAGTCCTTTAAGAAATAAATGTTAGAATAAAATTGTGATTAAGAAATCCAAGCTTCAAAGAAATTACTAATCAACAGAATACAGGCGTGGCCTTTAAAAGAGCATTATAACTGATAGTGAACAGATTCTCTTATCCCCTAGCCCTCATATTTAAAGAAATAAAAGACTCAAATAGGCCATATCTGCTTGAAGGTCATATATTAATAATTAGTTTCTATATTTGATCATCAAATTGATTTTCAATTAGTTTCTATATTTGATCATCAAACTGATTTTCAACAAGGCGGCGCATTTACAATCGAATTTAAAAATAGTTCATTATCTAGAACTAGCGCAATGCGCAAGAAAAAGATGCTCTTTTAAGTTCCAAAGTACAGTTCACTAGTTATTTTGTGAATTTCATTCCTATCATTAAGAGAATTTGATGGTGGAAAGATAAATTTAAATATTGGGAATAAATTATTTAATATAAACATAGAAAATAACATAAAATTAAAGGGTAGTACACTACATGTGGGTCCTTGATACAGTTACATCTTTAAAACACAATTAGGTCTCTGAGATAAATTATTAAAATCTAAATGAAGGTCATTTTCCATTAACAAAAGTTAACTTTCTATCAAATTCAGCCATGTGAGTAATTCTATTTGAGTTGTAACAACATTTGTAAACGGTGCCTAATTTTTAAGTAATGCACGTCAAACATTGTTCACATAAGTCCCTTTCAATTTCAAAATTACACTGCATCCACATGCCTACTCAAAAAAAGTGAGACAGATGGACCCATGCGCTAACTTATCAATCATGTGGGTGATGGAGTTCATCATGCTCATGGCTTTATTTAAAATCCTAATGTAAATCTTTTACTCCTCCAACCATTACTTAGCCTTCAATTTTTTCTTTCACCTTTGGGTGACAGGCGCTTCTCTACCTTTAGCATCTTCTCAACAATTTTATTTAGTATGGAGGCATCTTCTATATCACCTTCTTCCATCAAACGTTCATTCTCTGTTGACTTACTCTAGTTCTTGGACACCATATTAATTTCCAAAAAATGAGAAAGTGTCGAGGGTTTAGGTCTACGAAACTATTTCAACCACAAAAAGTAATAGAAGACCAAGACATTTTGGAAAGTTTATTTTTTTATTAACGGTCATGTTAACAAAAAAGGCCAAAGTGAAAGATCTTATAACTCGGAAGCTGAAATGAAAATTTTCTAAAGTATCGTCTAATGTGAAGTGTCTTTATCTCTAGAGAACATGTGTAATTTACTCTAAATTAATATAAAGCTTAATGAAAAAATATGCACATATATCCATAAGCAATATTGCAGAAACAAATAATATGGCATAACCCCATGACATGCCATGCCATTGACAAGCCATACCGTTGCAAAATTGGATATGAAGGTCTCTTTAGCTATGGTATAGGAATGATTGGATCAAATTAAGCTCTTTATGAAAACATTAGTTGTGCAAAACTTTTCAGGGCTATTAGAACAATTAGGTTACGCATTAAAACATTTCTTCAAAAAAGAACGCGGTAGATAGGCTAGCATTCATTTGGAGTGAAGCACCAGAAGGAATTTAGAAATGCAGATCATTGGAATAGAATGGAATGCACTCACAAGCTCATAGGAAATAATGACATAAAACAAAAAAATTTCAATACCTTGACTTCAATATCAATTACCCTAATTCTAGAGACTACAAATATGAAAACATTGGATCATTAAATGATTACTGAAAAATGGTTTATATAGGAAAAAGGTTAGAGTTCAGCATTTAAACCCCATGTATTAAACAGTATAAAATTATGCAGGAATAGGCATGCTTAAAATGCCTTCAGAGCATTAAATTAAGTTCCCAAAGCAAAGATGTGATGATTGTCATTGTTCTCCATAAACAAAACTGTGTCCCTCTGTAAAAATACCAAGGCAAGAACCTTTTTTTTATTTAACATGAAGTAGAATCAAGCATAATGAAAATGACTGCCGCGACCAGATAAATATGCACTTTTTTTTTGAAAAATCATTAATAATATGACATCTGAAATTAAACTTGCCAAATTGCTCAAAAATAGTCTTGCATTTTCTGAAGCTCTCATCAATTTTGGGAAACTTTATTATGATTGTATTAAATGATTTCATGGTACTTCCTTGTGTAGCTCTTTGACGCATAGCGTCAACCATCTTTGCATCAAGTTTTGATTCCGATGAATAATTCTTTGAAGACTCTTTCTTTCCCAGAGAACCACCCATCTCAACGTACAATAAAAGATGGCATGCAATATATAGGTTACGCGTGTGACCTACAAAGAGGAGGACAAAAAATATAACTCATCAGTAAAGAGAGAAAACTAGCAGGAAGGAAGAACAACATCAGAACCTAACATACGAAATAAGCACATGATAGAACATTGTAAATGTTAGTGGTGGAGGTGATCATGCTGATTAGCATTGCCATCAATATCTTAGAAGTCATTTGGGTTTACTTTTGGTTTTTATTTTATTTTATTTATGTTTTGTATCAAAAAAATATATATTTGGCTATTTGATTAAAGTGTAGTTGTTTTTAAAAATATTCAAAATAGTTTTCAAAAACATGTTAATTTGTTTAGAAATTAAAAATAAAAATATATTAAAAATACACTAAAATAAACATGTTTTTAAGAAACAAAAGGTAAAAAAACAAAAAAACAAAATTGATTCCAAACAAGCCCTAAACATTATGCATTTTCCTTTTAGTATATTGATCATGATGTACTTTGTTGACGGAAATCTAAAGGTGTACACTTGTCAAAAGCACAAATGGTACCGAACGCTATGAGTTTTATCATTGTATTATGTTCACTTTTAGTTTATTTTATTGCAAAAAAACGTCTATGGTGATGACATTTATGAGAATGGGATGTAGAATTTAAGTAACTTGTTGGGTTTGTCATCATTGCAAGCTTATTCAATTCGCCTCTCTTAAGCATCCCTGGTTTAGCACATATTCCAAGATCTCCAAAATATGTTCTATGTTGCAACTCACTCTTCCTTTCGTTGGAAAGTATCACTAAACTGTAGCTAATACCAGCTCTTAATGTTCTCTGTTCAATAGTTTTATGTGCTTTACTTCCCTCTAAAAACTGTCTTAGACACTAGCTGGCTTTGGTTGGGTCATTCTTGCCATGCATAGAAAGCACATGCCCACTGCTTTGCCTCCACAAACCTATGTGTTTTGTTGTCTTTTGAAAAGTTGAATATATTGACCTCCAATATTGTACTGTTCTGTGTTTGAAAAGTTAATATTTTAGCAATATTGTGAAAAAAATCTGATCGAGACTAAATTAAAGATTTATAATTTTAATTCAAATTTTGAAAGATACCAAAAAGATGCAATTTTGAGCCTTGTTTATAAAAAATAGGATAAATTAAGCATGTAAAAGGTATCAAACATTGAGTATTGCAAGAACAACTTTAATTTTGTACAATTCGTGTAAATTTGCTCGTTGGATGTGCATTGGAGGAAGTGCTTTGCAGTTGTATATGGTTACTTCTCGGAGCGAGTCTCCACTTAATGATGTGAGGACTAATTCTTCTTTTCGATGATTTCTATCATATTCTTGTTTTAATTTGATTGGTTGGTTGGACTGTGCATGAAATTTATCAAGTTGGATTATCCTCTCACAGTTTTCATTAAAGTGTGAAACTTAATAAATATTATATTCAGCCATTATTTTATGTGAAATTTCATATTTTGGGAACTGTTAAACCATTATTTGGAGCGAAAGAAGCATATTTGGTATAATGATTGTTTTTTTCGCTAAAATTAAGAATTAGTGAACCGAAGATTGTGATTTTCTTTTACTGTTTTTTGTTGTATATCTCATTCTAGGTTGCATTAATAACTTTAGACCCCAAGAACCCTAGTCATCCGTTATGCCGGTATCTTAGTACAATTTTTGTCTTTTATTAGTCGCAATTTAGTCTATCATTATTATTATTATTATTATTATTATTATTATTATTATTATTATTATTATGACTAATATCTTTAGGGTTTAGGGGTATGCATGAGATTGTTGTTTTGAGCCTTAGGGTTAGAGTTTGGGAGAAACTTCCTACCTCTCGAATTTTAGCATTTGGAAGAGATCGCCAACCTTTTGAATTGTAGGTGCTTATCTTTTTTATGTATTCATGTGAGTTGTGCGGTGTTGTATTGTTTTGATTTAAGATTGGTGAAATTAAGTATTTTATTTGTCGTAAATCTAGTGAAAATTCATCTAGGATCGTATCAAATTGGTATCAGGACTGTCGATTTACGAGAAATAAAGGGATTGCAACATACATGGTCTACGTTGCATCACGTTGACTTCGTGAAGGACCCATGCAAAACATTGTTATTTGCTAGCTAGGAAGCCAAAGTAGGATTGCGACGTACATGTTGCACATTTGTGATATCGCAAGAAACCGAGCGAAACAGTAGCATTTCAACCTAGCTGGGAATCGCAGAAAACAGAACGATACAATAGGCGATGAGATTGCGACGTACATACAACGTGATCGTGGCGTATGTGCAACTGGGTCGCTCGATTTGACCTATAGGGGGGATCGCAACATACAACGACCAAACCTCATGGTACACTCGAGGTAAGAGCTATTTGGGAAACCAACCACAGGATTGCGGCATTGGATTGCAGCATTCCTGTCGTGATTCAGCGTAAATGAGTTTCGCCTTTATGATCAAAAAACTTTTTGGGAGTAATGAAAGTCAAAAAATAGATGCTTTGATAGAAAAACTGAAGAAATAAGCAAGCAAAATCGGATCTAAAAAAGATGAGTGTTTCTCGGCCATTAAGGAACAATTTTTATCCATGAAGAGGCAGTTCATGGAGGGTTTAACGACCCCAAAAAAAATGATAAAAAAATGGAGTTTCACGCATACCCGCCACCACCTACCATGGGATCGAGCGACGATGTCTAGAGGGGATACAAGCAGCAGCAATCTAAAGAATTTATGAGGCATCGCAACATCGTTGATGCTTTAGGTGGATATAGAGCCACAAGAAAAAGTGAAGGGATCTGAAGCGAACTCAAGTGGCAGCAATTGGAATAAATAACATGACATTTGGACTGCTGGAACAAATGGAAGAAGTAAGGATTGAGCAAATGAGTCAAGCTTGGATTCGCACGACCACATCTAGAGGAAATTGCACAAAAATTGGAGTTTAGGGATGAGCGACAACATGCAAAACAGGATGTGTGATTTAGGGTTGGATAAGATCGACTCAAAGGATTACGACCTGGAATAGAGAATTATAGTGGTGGGATACCAACAAAGGAGTACACCCAACCTCGCTAGTGCATTTTACTGTGACACTCTTCTGGGCAGAGACAATTCATAAGTGATGATGAGAATGGGACATGTGAAGAAGGGAAACGGAGTTTGTATGGGTCTAATTTGGACACTGCAAAGTAAATTTAAAAGGGAGACAAGATGGTGATGTTTCGCGATGGCCCCAATTTGTGCAGGTCTTTAGTGATGCTCAAGACTATGGTGAGGGCAATTCGGGAAGTATGGCTAAAATTTTTGATTGAGTTGCATGACATGAAAGAGATGCATGATACAAATTGAAAAAGATTTTGACGATTGATGAGCTATTTGATGAGTTAATTGGGTTGACAGTATTGTCTTAAATTGATTTAAAGTCAAGAGTAACAACATATTCCTATACGGACAAAGGATGGACACAAGACTGCATCTTGAACTCATGAGGGTCCCTGGAAAAATTTTCAGATAATGAAGCCACGTTGGGAGCCCCATGACTTGATCCAGCAACAGTTTCTTTTTTCACCTTGAGGACAAGGTGTATTTTGGGAGGGGAGTATTGTTACACCGATACCTAAAAGGAATTTTGTCTTTTATTAGCCAAAAGATAATTTAGACTTTTATTATTAGAATTGTGGATATAAATAGGGCTAATATATTTAGGATTTGAGGGTATGCATGAAATTGTTGTCTTGAGTCTTAGGGTTAGGGTTTGGGGGAGACTTCCTATCTCTAGGATTTGGGAGAGATCGTCTACCTCTCGAATTGTAGATGTTTATCTTTTATGTATTCGTGTGAGTTGTGTTGTGTTGCATTACTTTGACTTGATTGGGGAAATGAAGTATTTTAATTGCCCTAATTCCGGTGAAAATTCGTCTTGAATCAAATCATCATCATACATTCATAGGTCATTTTCTATGTATAGATGTTTCATTATGTTGTATGAGGGATGATGAATATTTGGTGAATAAAACCTTGGCTCGTGCAAGCTTCTCTCCTTTCTCCCTCTCATAATTCCACCCACCCCTTCTCAACCCTATCCCTATCTCTTTAACTCTACCTAATCTCCAATTCTTACTCTCCTTGTTCCTTAAGTAGCTGTAAGTCTCCTTCCACTACCATGGTCTTGAACCTCCAATTTTATTTACATAGGCAATTTGAAAGATGGTTTGTACTTGAATCCCTCTCCGCTTGGTTCTTATGAAATCAACATAGATTGCACATTAGGTTGAGTGATGATTCATTTTTTTTATATCGAGAGTACAAGAAAACATTGTGAGACAACTGATTCTTTCGTTGTTTAGGTTGTTTCATTATTTTTTCGTTTTATCCATTCATCTTTTCTAAACGGCAACAAGTCTTGTTTTCTTCTTCCAAATTCAATGCTGCACTTTGTCAGTTTATCCAAAAGCAGGATTAGGATGATTTTTTTGTTGCTCATACATGGTATGTGGCATATTTTTATTTTAATCGATGATTTTGCTATTTTCCCACTAATTCCAGCATTTTGTACGCCTGTATGTTGTTTTGCTTCTACTATGTTCTTTATTTCTGTTGTTTTCTCCTGCTAATCATTGAATACCTTTACCTCATGTTGCATTCCACGACATTTGCTTCACCTCAAGTACATCCTGCAAACCAGGAGCCATCATTTAGCTTCCCATTTCCATTCAAATTTACGTTTGAACACAAACACCAAGTTCTCACTAAAATAAATCTACGTATTTAGCCATCTAAACAACCACTCAATCCCATTTTTCTTAAACCTGTTCACATTATGAGAAACCAAAGAGGAGTTTATGCTGCCAAATGAAATATCTGGCCTACGCCTTCCCTCAGCAGAACATGCAGTAAGCCCGAGGAAACTAACAAGAATATTCAATGCATTAGTGCTCTCTGAGCTCTGGACCGTTTCTGTTTCTACTCCTGAGCTCAGGACAGATTTCCACCTCGTACTTTTTTACACCGAATCTGAAATTCAAGGCATCAGAAATCAGCATCCATAAAATTATTGCTGCAGAAATCCACAATGATACAAATTCTGCTTCAGAAAATAACTGCTACTGTCCTTGTCACTGTTTCTTGTTGCGAAGTCATTTTTCTCTTAAATTTTTCTTCAGCCCTCCTACCTCATTTACAAGGTGTCGAAGAGCTGCAAGTGCAATTTTTTATTTTGAGGTATTTCCGGGATATTAATGTAAATATGTCTAGGGTATTAATGCACAGCAATTACAACTGTCGGTTCTTCTTCATGTAAATCATTGCCAAATGTCCATCTTATTTTTAAACATGTTTTAAATATGTTTCATGCTTAAATATGTAATAAGAACACATTACATCTTTCCTATTACTTTTGAATATTTTTCATACTTATCGAGATACTCTTCTATAGAAAGAGTGGCTTAGGACTGCATGTGAGAATTGAATGATAGCAAAGGAATTAAAACAAAGCAAGTTGCATCTCTCCTAGATGCCATCAATCCTTCTTAGCATAGTCATCGACTCCCGCTCCCCTCCCTCTTCACCTAATCACTGGGATGGCTAATATCTCCTCTCCTTTACCTTTCAATTATCAAAGGCTTTTCAAGCTCTAGATTCCTCATAAATGTATCAGCCAAATAAATAGAAATGAGAAGACTAATATGTTCCGCTTCCACATTACATAATTTCATATTCGAGCTCTTTATCTCTGTGATTGTTCATCTTCGAGTTTTGTCACTGACAATTTTGTGGAAACAGCAGTTTTTATAGCAAGTTTTTCCACCATCAAGACCACAAAGTTCATGGTCCTATGGCCGTTCCCACATTAAAACCCTAAAATTATTTTCAATCTCTTTTTAAAGTCCCCAACAAAAATAACAGAAACCAAGCCCTTCATTAGCTTAACCTGATCCGCAAATACAAAAGCCTACCTGAGTGATTCAATCCCCACTCAATATGACAAACGTTTATTATTTTATCGCTAACTTTCTCATTTCTTCTGAAAATCCAGAAAAAAAAATTGATTTTGTGTTCTATCAATCAATCATTTTCTTCTTCCAATGTGATGTAAGTAATTTATTATCTACCTCGAGTAATTTCTCCCTATTGTACTTTGTTCCTGTCTTTAATTTCTTCCCAATGCTCTCAAAAAGTCTCTAAAGACTCAACAACATCTCCAATGTACTCAGATAACAACAAAGTATTTAATACCACTTGGTTGCCCCAAAAGCACAACATTTCCAACGTACTCAGATAATAACAAAGTAGTTAATACCTCTTGGTTGCCCCAAAAGCACATGTAGATCAACAAACCAAACCTCTATAAATATTTATCTCAACTCTCTATATGCTATTTCTTTTCTTTGTCTCCTTGAAGTAACTTGCAAGACTTACTCTTTCTCTCATTTATCCATAGACCCAAATGCATGCTCCTGCTCAATTCTCTCGAGAAAGCAAATTTTCACCACTCAGATCTTTAGTCTCCAAATCTCAAAAAATATCTCATTTAAACCTAGCTTTACCTTAACGCACATTCACTAACCCTAACTCTACTTCACTTTTTTGGATCAACCTATAGAATAAATCATTAATTTCATCATTATGTTCTTCTAAAATAAAATGCTAACCAAGCAAAAATGTCAAAGGAACTTTTAAGCAGATTAGTTCAGTATAAAAACTTCTTAAATGGTTTAGTCACTTATCATCTAATGGTGGAACTAAAAAGCAAAAGACATCAGCAATAAATAAGATGGATATGATTAAGCAAATAGAGGAGAAAGGAAGCCATTGAGAAAAGTAGAAGTAAAATCAAGTAAAAAAATAAAAAAACTAATAAAAAAGAAAAATTATTTCATTTAAATGAGTAAGCTATTACAATCAAATTTTAACACCAGTAAAATCCATAGAACAAGTAAAACTAATCTTGCATGACACCTCATTTGTTTCTATTCACTGCCAAAGCCACAATACCAAAATACTTCATGGATCCTTCTACATTTTTGGATTTGAAAATATCACACATTTAGGGCAAACAGCATCCAACCTAAGAACTTCTGATGTGTTAATGCTCCGTTGCCAAGCTTAAAAACAAAGATATTTCTATTATATAGATGAATCTAAGGGAGTGCATGGATACATTGAAATTTGAACATACATAAACTCAATTTATTGCTTGTAGTAAATTGTAACTTTAATAATGGAGCAGAAGCAGCAATTACAATCAACCAACTGAAAATAAAAAACACAAAAACTAACCAAGGCTAAAATTAATAAGAATTGGGTGGAATGTACGTAAATCTATCATCAAAAACAAAAATAATGCAATTATTTGGCTCCACAGTTAATCTCTCGTAGTTCAAGGAATTCCGGTTACAAAGGAAGCCCTCATTTTCTGGCAGTAAATTTCACAAGAAGTTTAATTGTGAGGTTAACTAAATAAGCAATCTTAACTCCAAACAAAATACAGTAAATCAATGTATTCCAGCTGTTTCACATCAAATTTACAGAAAATAAACAGCCCAAAAATCAAATCTTCTAATCCTGAAGCAGGCAAGCAAAGCTCTCAAATGTGTAATTAGATAAAAAGATAAAAACAAAGAAAACAATCAAAGAACTAAAAATTTGATGGCGACAAAAGAAAACAAATAATATAACTTTCACCAAGCAAGCCTCTTAAATCCAAATCACATAAAAACCAAAGATAACCCTTCCAAATTCTCCCAGACAATGGTCACCACTGGCCCCACTCCCACAAACCCTCGCTAAAAAAAAAGTAGAAATCAAACAACAAAAAGAAAGCACCGCACACAGATTCTTCAATCAAAAATCTAATCCACGATTACAGACACTAACTAGAACAGAAGATTATACAACAAACTCCATTAAAGACGATGTAAAACCAATCCATTAGCTGGCACAAAATAGTCCAATTTACCTTCTTAATTCAACCTCTCATACCAGTAAAAAATCAAAATCGCCAAAGAAAAGAACATCAACAGCTACAAACATGGAGAAATCAATTTCTTCTCCAGGGAAAATCGGGGGCTTTCGGAGGAGGAATTTTGGATTTTAATATTTGTGGAAGTCGGGAAGACGAGAGAACAATGCGTTCCACGTATTTTACGGAAAATAGGGATTGGTACACGTGCATGCGTACGGGATGTGATCGGAGGGTTGAGACATGGAGTTTGCTGGATCCGTTGGGTTTATTCTTACGATGGCCGGCTTGCTATTGAGTATAGAACAGGGAATATGGTTTTCTTGCAGCCAGAGCCGGCACGTGGATTAAAGTATTTGTGGTGCAATTGAACGGACCAGATTTCTCTTAGAAGTTTCATTTTTCGCCACAAAAAAAAATAATAAATAAATAAAATTAATTTCTTGGAGTAGTCTTATGAAAGGACAATTCAAATTAAAAAAAATAAATTGTTTTTTTTAGAATTTTTGAAGTGTTTTTCTCTAAGAAAATATTTAAAATTAATAATGTACAAAATTCATGAAAATTTAAAAGAATATTTGATAAGAAAATCTTAAAGTTCTTGTAAAAATTCCAAGTGATTTTAAGTCATTTTAATTTTCTATGATTCATTTGATTTATTTAAATTTTAAATCTAAAAAAAATTATTATTTTAAAATTTTAATTTTGTTTTCCTAAATTTTCTCTATTCCTAAGATTTAAAATACAAATTTTGGTGATTTTTTTGGGATTTTTTAATTTATTATAAATTTTGCAAGTTCAAAAGTTTAATTAATGAATTATTAAATTAGGATAATTTAATTTAATTTGATAATTGAATTTAAACGATTTACTTAACTCTAAGCTTTATCAAGTTATTTTTTAAGTCACACGAGACTTCAAGAAAATTTCATGAATTTTTTTGTGAATTATTTTTTATTTGTATTATTTATAATATTTATTAATCATTTTAATAAAAATATAAAATAAAATTAAAATTAGTTGTTAAAAATTATAAGAACATTCCCTAGGATTTAGGGCCATTAGATGCATTTTTTTATAAAACTTTTTATTAATTTTGATTAATTTGGATTTTCTAGGCTTTTTTATGGTTTTAATTTTCAAACATTATTTGAATATTAAATGACTTCAATTTTTTCTCTAAATTCACTAAAAAAAATATTAAAAAGTCACCCTAATACTTTCATAAAGATTTGATGAGGTTTTGAAGCCAAAAGTATTTTTATAAATTATTTGTCTTATTTAAAAGTTTAAAATATAAAAATTTAATTTTAAACATAGAATATTTGGGTGTTTCTATCATTAGGGTTCAGTGGTTAAATTTTAGTAATATTTTTTAATTTTATTTAATTAATTATATTATTTAGTTCATGATTTAAATAATAAAAATTTTAAATTAAATAAATTCCCTTTAGTTTAATAATTGATTTAAAAGGTTTAAGTAATTCCTAATTTCATTAAATAATTTTCAAAGGTTTTGTAAAATTATGATTAATGAAAAACTATTAAAATTATGATACCATTGAAACTATTGAAACTATTTGTAAAATTATGATTAATTTTTCACCAATTATTAATTTTTAATTATTTAATAGTAGTTTTTATATACATAGCACTTAAAACATTAGCATTTACATATCTCATAGTCAAACTGCTCCGTTTACATATGTAACACTTAAATTTTTAGATACCACAAAATCATGCTTCTATTTCCACTTTCATTTTCTTTGGCTAAAAAATGTGCGCCAACGTCAATTTTGTAAATCTACCAGACCCAAAGCATTATCTCCTCCCTGTAACCCCCCACATGTGAAGCCAACCACGCCTCTGAAAAAAAGTGTTCTTCTATTGGAAATGTGTCCTAGCATCATCACTCCCTTTTGCCCAATATTGACACCTCCTCGGATCGAAGAAGCAGGCATGTGCTAACATCTTCCCTTAGAGTTTGTGCTAAAGATTCTGTAGCAATAACACCACCAAATATTTCTTCTAACTTCTCTTCTAGTTTGAAATTCATGATGCTCTATCTAAATTATTTGGCATTTAACACAACTTACAGTTTATAAAACAAAGATATGAATTGTAAGTACACATATATGTTTACTAAATAATATGACTGAAGTCATAAATAGCTTACATGTAGCTTCTCTTGCTGCCACACATCTCATGCATCAATGATTTTCTTTATAGTATCCAACCCAACCTAATTGATCCTTAGTTTAACTCCATAATTTGCAACCCTTCTTCAATTGATCCCATTTAATAATTAGTTGAGTTCTATTGCACTCCCTATCAGTTTTCTCTTTGAAATTTATTGTAATATTCTACCAATCTTCCTTATTTAACTAAATTGTTGGTAAGGGTGTAAATGAACCGAACACAAGCGAGCCCAGGCTCAACTTGTGTTCGGTTTGTTTATTTTTTGACTCAAAAAGTGTGTTTAGGTTCGACTCGTTTGCTTAGCGACCCAAATACGAGTTGTTCACGAACAAAGAGTCGGTTTGACAACCCTAATCACATAGTCATAAGGTTGTGGCAAGATTTAAACATTATTATTTAAATTAAAGCATCATTTGAATATAATTTAAAAATTTTTATTCTATTTTTTTAATTAATACTTTTAGTTGATTGTAAATCTTTGTAGCCTTGTAGTCAATTAATTTTTTAAAAAATACTACTTATCAAAGATATATATATAATTAACGAGCCGAACAAAAACTAACAAACCTGTTTTGTGTTTAGCTTGTTAACTTAGCGAACGAGCCGAGCACGAGCTTCTTAACGAGCTGAACATGAGTTGTTCGAAAACAACGAGCCGTTTTAATAGCCCTAGTTGTTGGTTGATTGCCTAGTTTACCTTCTTTCAAACATAGTTCACCAAAATTAATTTTTACATCTCATTCACAAGTGGCACTTGCTCCAAGCTCTCTTGGATTTCATATTTGCAAATGAACTTAAAATAATATGAAAATAAACATACATTTAAACTCATATAGAAATTTCAAGAGTAGTTTAATTCAAGAAGAAATGGTAAATGATATAGATCTTTGAGTATAATTTATTGAATTTAGTACATAAGTAATTAGGTGATGATAACATAAGTAATTATGGGCATTTACATACAAACAATGTAATTTACATGAATATACATATCTAATACCTAAACATTCATGTTTAGATTCTTACTACAGGTAACTTTTACTTGGCATGTACATAAATGAGCGGAGTGCAAAACTTCATGAAAAAAGAAGATTTACGAAGGAAATAGACTGGGAGATGAAAATGAATCAAAACCAATGGCTGATATTAGAAAATCAGCGTGAGTGCCCTCACAGGAATTGAAGATGCATCATCGATCTAGGCAAGAAGTAATATATCATAAATAGATTCATGCATGTGTGGCAAATATATTAACCAAATCTGAATTAACTTTATCAGAATGGCTTTAAAGAAGTAGTCATAATAGAAGGAGCATTTCCAGTTCAAATGTGTTATACCTACTGTTAGTTCAACAAAACCCCCTCTTTTTTAGGTTGCAAACTATCATCATGTCGGCACTATTTTTAGTGTGGGGTTTCCCCGTAATAAGCTATCGGTCATCGGAATCGAAATCCCATTGCCCGCTTCGGAAGGACGTTTTTTAAAAAATTTTAGTTTTGAAAAAAATGAAGTCAAAGTGAACCCATAATTTTCATAGTTTAGATGAAAGAGCGCTTTACCTCAAATCCTGTATCTATCCCGAAGGATGAGCACAAGAATTGAGAGTGAGGCTCGATCAAATAAACTAAAGAAAGTTATGACATCCGTTTTGGTCTGCGAAACCAATGTATTGGCCGACAAGTTCCCCTATTTAATATAAGGAATTAAATAGGGTTTATATTATGTTGGGTTCGGGAAAAGCTTCCTATAAAGGCAAGCCCCTATAGTTAATTACATCTTAGGTAATAAAAGTTACCTAAGAATACTCTCGATAAAAATTAAGAAAAATTACCTTCAAGGAGTTCAAATGGTAAGGACATTTCAAAGATATCGGACTAAGAAGGGTGAAGGGGATTGGTTCAAATTTGGAACATTTTGTTTTAGAGTCTAAAGGAGGAAATACTAGAGGATGTCACGGATCCGAAGGAGAACTTCGATGACTTCCCAAGCTATCCTATTATTTGGCTTCAATTTAGGAGAAATCATTTAGATGTTTCATCCTGCAATTTTTTTATTTATTAGGATTTACATTTGTGTGAAGCAATCAGCACAAATAACCTTGAAGATGTGAGGATTTAAG